TCTCTCTCTCTCTCTCTCTCTCTCTCTCTCTCTCTCTCTCTCTCTCTCTCTCTCTCTCTCTCTCTTTTTTTTTTTTTTTTTTTTTTTTTTTTTTCTTTCTTTCTTTCTTCTCTCTCTCTCTCCTCCCTCCTCTCTCTCCCCCCTTCCTTCCTTCCTTCCTACCAGAAGAAGATTTTTGTTTTATTTTCTTTTGTTTTTGTTTTGAAACAGCTTTATTATGGTATAAATTCTGTACAGTAAACTGCGCATATTTCAGATGTATCACAATCAAGGTACCTAACATTTCCATCACTCCCCCAGAGATGCAGATTTTGAAACAGAAGGGTCACCTTCTTGATCTCCATACTGAATGCCCAGTGACCTTTGGGTGGCAGCTTGTGCATTTCTGCAATGCCTGTGCTCAGAGGTCCCTGTGCCTTTTTAACCCCATTTGATCATGCATGCATGGAGGAGGTGTTGAAAAATGGGGAAGAGTGGAGGGGAGGCTGTAGAGGTCTGCAGGAGGGGCTTGGAAGCTAGCATGGGCCTCTGGGTGAGCCCAGTGGATGCGGGGTGTTGGGATCAAGGGCCGTGTGGACCTGTTGGAAAGGGACGTGTCAGTTCTGGGTGGAGCACCTGGAAGCGGGTTCACGGGTAGCTGTGGGGCTGTGTGGGTCGGGTTTGGGTAGCATAACGTCTCCTCTCAGGTCCTCTGGGATGCGGATGCTGAGGTTGAGATTTTCCATGCCTGGTTTGACTGGGTAGCTCACAATCACACCAGAGGAGGAATGAAGGAAGAAGAATGTTAACCTGTGGGGTTGTTAGAACCAAGGCCTGAGCTGCGCCCACAGGGAGCTCTGGGCCCAGGAGGATGGGTGCCTTGGTCCCGGTGGGGTGAGGGGTAGATCCTGGAGATGCCACCCGCATCCACTTCACACAGTGAATTTTGTGGGGTCTTTTGGGAGGGCAGGAATCGTTGGGCAACCCACAGAGTAGTTACAGGGAACATCTCAGAGATCCTTTTGGGGGTTACTTTTGGTGTTGGGGGTATTTGGGGTTACAATGAAGAAAGTTTCTGATGCAGTTTGCAAGATACATATGGGAATTTGGAGTGTGCCCTGGGAAGACACTGAGGTCTCATTGGGGTGGGTGCATCATTGGACAAATATCTCTTTTATTAGATTTTGGCAGTGACAGTTCTGCAGCTGGGGTCACTGGGAATGGAAATAGGATGTCAGGTGTAGCAGTCCTCGTGTCGTCAGGAGTGCCATCCATCACGGACGCGTGAGTTACTGGGATATGTTGTGGGATTGTGTAGCAAGGTAGGGGGCTCATCACGCGGTTTCTGGGGAGTATGTCAGACCCCTGGGAGTTTGTAGGTTAGAGTCCAGAAGGGCCCCGTGGGTCTTACAATTCACAGGGCAGACACTTTTCATCAGGAAGGGCCTGCTGGGGTGGGGAGCAAGTTAAGAAGTGCATTTGAGGGCCCGTGACTTAGGGAAGGAGTGTTCAGTCAAGGGCAGGCGCAGCACAGAGACCGCAGCACAGAGGCTCGTCCTTGGGAAGATGCAGCTGCTCCTGCCTCACTGCCCGGACCGCAGCGCTTACTCTGCCGTGCCCTCCCTGCCTGTCCCAGAACGTGCACACTCACGCACACACGCACACACACACACGGTCACACAGACATGCACACGTGACACACAGACACAGACACACAGACAATACAGTCAGAAGGAAACTGGGGAGCATGCAGCAAGGTATTTTATTTTTTATCATTTTATTTTTTTTTCTACTTAGTCTATTTCATATTGTCTTTGGAAATTCTCACACACACACACACACACACACACAGATCAGAACAAGGTGACGACTACCTAGGGGAACGGGAAATGGCCAGCTCCCTCCCGACATTTGTACCCTGGGTTCCCTTCTGCCCAGAGATATTTTAAACTCAATGAGGAACAAGTTTCTATCTCCAGTGAGGAGGGCCACTGCGTTCTGGGAAGGGAGTTGGAGACAGGAAGGGGAGCAGTGTTTGGGGATTCAGAGCCCCGGCAGTAGCGGGGAGACTCAGGAACTAGATGACGGAGGAGCTCTGTGCATTCTCCCCAGTTAGTGAACAGAATGGGGTGAGCTCATGGGGTCACCTTAGAGAGAGGGTCTCGTGTTTCTCCCCAACACACCCACCCTCCATTCACCTTTGTTCTTCGTCTTCTCTGGAATGGCAGTGTGCGTGCTCTTCCGAGTAGGTGACTTGAGGGAGAGAAGTGTTTTCTCTTGGTGCACCTTGCCTGCCTCGGGTCTTCCAGCTTCCCCACTGCCCTTCTGTTCAGACACCCGCCTCCTGCTGTTCTTGGCCTGAGTTTGCCCAGTCCCAGCGAACCCCATCCAGTCAGCATTTGAGGCTGTGAGTATCTAACCAACGTCACTGCAGAGTGAGAAATCTGAGAGCCGAGAACTCTTCTCTCTATTTCCAAAGGAAATGAAATCAATATCTTTTTTTCGTTGGGGGTGTGTCATTAGGTTTATTTGTTTGTTTATTTTTTAACGGACAAACTGGGGATTCAACTTGGGACCTCATGCATACTAAGCACGTACTTTCCCACTGAGCTATACCCTCCTCCCTTCCCAAAATCAGTATCTGGAGGAGACAGTCTGCACTCCCATGTGCATGGCTTGCAGCCAAGATGTGGAAACAACCTAAATGTCTAGTGAGAGATCAATGGATAAAGCAAATGTGCATACATATATATAATGAAATTCAACCATAAAAATGAAGGAAATCTGTTGTTTACAACAGCACGGATGAATCTGGAGAGCATTATGCTAAGTGAAATCAGCCAGACAGAGGACACATATTGTATGATCTCACTTACTGCAAAATCTCAAATAGTCAGCGTCATAGAACCAGAGTAGAAAGGTGGTTACCAGAGGCTGGGAGGTCAGGAAAACGGGGAGATGCTGGTTAAAGGGTACAAAATTTTAGTTGTAAAATGAATAAATTCTGGGGATCTAATACACAGCATGGTCACTGTAGTTAATCATACTGTAATGTAGGCTTGAAATTTGCTGAAAGAATAAATTTTCAGTGTTCCTACCACACACTCGAAATAGTAACAGTGAAGTGATGGACATGTTAATTAAATTGATTTTGGTAATTATTTCACAGTGTATGCATATGTCAAATATCACATTGTATACCTGATATATACGCAATATTTATTTGTCAATTATAGCTCAATAAAAGGTGCAAGGTGTGCTGGGCTTGCCTCCTCAGGGTGATACTCATCTCGGCTACACATTAGCTTGCTGAGGCATTTTGCGAATACATTTTTGTGCCCCCTGACCAGAGAATCCCCTTCAAAAAGTCAATATGTGGCCCAACCTCAATGATATTTTAAGGGGCCCCAGTGATTCCAGTCTGGGTCCCTCACTGAGCATCCTGACTCTGAGTCCTCCCATCCTGAGGGCTGGGATCGGGGCTGAGGGGGAGGGGGCTCTGCTCTGCGTGGGGATGGATCAGGGCCTGGTCTGTGACCTGAAGGGGGCTGTCGGGTCCAGCTGAGGCGCCCACTGCTGCAATGTGGGTGAGGGGCTCACCAGGAGGGGATCGTGATCTGAGGACAGTGTGGGGAAACTCCATTGTTGGTCTGTGTGTGGAGTTTCCTGTCCTGAGTCCCTCCTGTGACAGTGGGCAGCAGAGGACTGTCTGTCCCACGTGGTGAGGTCTCCCCTGTGTGTGTGGTTGTGGCGCAGGGAGGGGTACGTTGATTCTCAGCATTAAATGATATCTTTCCACCTTTCAGAATTGACCTCTGAAGACATTGCCTGAGAAAGAAGCCGGAAGAGGAAGAAGAAAGGAAAGGAGCCAGAAATGGCTGTCTCTCAGGTGAAGTCATGTTCTTGGTTGACTGTTCTGTTTCTCCTTCCTGAAATGCCCTGCTTTGCACTCACTCATCTGACTCTAAAGTATCCTGCTTGATAATCACTCACTCACCCAGGGCCTTCCTTCAGCCCCTCTTGTATCCACTTAGATTCCATCTCATCATGACCTAGTGAACTTATTTTTTCTTTTTCTTTCTTTTTTTTTTTTAATAGAGGTACCAGGGATTGACCCCAGAACCTCGTGCATGCTAAGCATGCACTCTACCCCTGAGCTCCACCCTCCCCCCCGACCCAGTGAACTTATGAAGAGGCCCTGGTGGGAATCCTGAAGGCCTTCATGCCCAGGCTTGGATCGGAGGCAGGGTGTTGGCCCCATGGTGTCAGTGTGGTTAGGTAGCGGGGATTATTTTTAGGGGCCCCATCTGGTTGGATGTCTGTCCTCTCTAAGCCAGGGTAAAGAAGCTACATATGGAAGTCACATATTAATGTTCACAAATAGCTGATAAATTCTGGGAGAAAAGAGCAATAAGGGAAAATCAGTTCTGCCTGTTTTTATAATACATTCTAGAATACACTTATGTAAGGCTGCACGAGTGAGTCACTGCTTCACAATCTTAGTGATTGTGAGTGGAGTTGAAAGTTCAGAAACAGACGTCAGTGGTAAAGGGGGTTTTATTCTATCATCAATTTAAAATACGAATTCAACCTAATTTTCTTTTCTGCTTTTGTCTTTGTCTGTTTTTGCTTTTCTTGTCTGTGCTTTTGGTGCACATTCAAGACATCATTGCCAAATCCAGTGTCTTGAACCTCTTCCCCCAGGGTTTCTTCTAGAAGTTTCATAGAAGTTTTAGGTCTTATGCTCTGCTCATCAATCTGTTTTGAGTTTATTTTTGTATATAGTGTAAGGTCAGGTTCCAGCTTCATGCTTTTGAAAGTTTGGAAAGCAGGTACTGAGTTTTCCCAGCGTCATTTGTGAAAGAGGCTGTCCTTTTCCCATTGGCGCCCTTGTCAAACATCCCTTGGTGTCTGCAAGGGTTTGTTTCTGAGCATTCTGTTCTGTTCCGTTGGTTTATGTGCTGTGTTTCTGCCAGTGCTACTCCATCTTGATGCCTCTTGCTTCGTTATATGTTTTGAAATCTGTAATAGTGAGGTCTCCACCTTTCTTCTTTTTCAAGAGTGTTTTGGCTATTTGAGTTCCCTTGAGATTCCATCTGAATTTCAGCATTTTTTTTTCTATTTCTGCAAAAATTTCCGTTGGGATTTTGATAGTGATTTTGTTGAATCCATAGAACATTTTGGGTAGTATGGACATTTTAATGATATAAATTCTTCTAATTCCTGGGTGTGGAATGTCTATTTATTTGTATCTTTGGTTTCTCTTCGTAATATTTTGCACTTTTCTGTGTACAAGTCTTTCACTTTTGTGGCGAAGTTTATTCCTAAATATTTCATTCTTTTTGACGCTATGGTAAGTAGGATTGTTTTCTTAATTTCCTTTTCAGAGTGTTCATTGTGAATGTAGAGAAATGCAACTGATTCTTGTGTGTTGATTTGATATCCTGCAGCTTTTCTAAAATTGTTTTCGGGTTGTAAGTTTTCTTGTGGAATCTTTATAGTTTTGTTACACATAAGATCATGTCATCTGAAAAAAAAGATAATTTTACTTCTTTTCCAATTTGGACGGCTTTTATATTTTTTTCTTGTCTAATTGCTCTGTCTAGGACTTCCAGTACTTTGTTGAACAGCAGTGCAGATTGTGCATCCTTGCCTTCTTCCTGGTCTTAGAGGAAAAGCTTTCAGTCTTTCATCATCGAGTATGATGTTAGCTGTGTGCTTTTCATGTTTTTATTATGTTGAAGTAGTTTACTGTTCCCAGTATGTTGAGTGTTTTACCTTGAAAGGTTGTTGGATTGTGTCAAATATTTTTTCTTAATTGAGATGCTCTTGTGTCGCTCTTTGCCTTTATGCTTTAATGTGGTGTATTATGTTGTTGGATTTTTGTATGTTAAGTCATCCTTACCTTACAAGAATACATTCTACTTGGTCATGATGTAGAATTGTTCTAATGTGCTATTGAACTTGCTTTGGTAGTATTTTGTTAAGTGTTTTAATATCAGTATTCATCTGGGATATTGGTTTGTAATTTTCTTTTCTGCTTTTGTCTTTCTCTGTGTTTGGTATCAGAATCATGCAGGGAGTTTGTAATTATTCCCTCTTCAACTCTTTGGAAGACTTTTAGCAGAATTAGTGTTAATGCTTTTCTAATTGTTTGGTAGAATCCTGCAGTGAAGCCATCTGGTCTTGAGTTTTCCTTTGTTGGGGGTTTTCAGTTACCACTTAAAACTCTAGTTATGATTCTGTGCACATTTTTCATTTCTTCATGATTAGGTCCTGGTAGGCTGTATTACCATTTGTTCTAGCTTATGTAATTTGTTGGCATGTAATTGTTCATAGCTGTCCCTTATCCCTTTAAAAAATTTCAGTGACCTGAGGGGAGGATATAGCTCGAGTGGTAGAGCGCATGCTCAGCATGCAGGAGGTCCTGGGTTCAGTCCCCAGTACTTCCTCCCCAAAAAACAAACAAAAAAAACCCCAAATAAACCTAATTACCTCCCCCACCTAAAAAAATTTTCAGTGACAGCAGTTACAGTCTTCCCCTTTCATTTCTGATTTTAGTTACTTGAGTGTTCTTTTTTTTTCTCAGTCTAACTAAGGCTCTGTCAATTTGCTAATGTTTTCAAAAAACAAACTCTTGGTTTGTTGATTTGTATACTGTTTTTCTACTCTCTGTTTATCTCTGCTCTAACCTTTCTCATTTACTTTCTTTCCTTCTGGTAAATTTAGTTTGGTTTGTTCTTTTTTAATTTTTTTATTATTTTTTTTAAACTTTTTTTTATGAGTTATAGTCATTTTGCAGGTTTGTTCTTCTTTTTCTACTTCTTTGAGGTGTAAAAATAGATTTCCGATTTGAGATCTTTCCTCTTTTTCAATGTAAGCATTTACCCCTGCAGACTGGCCTCTTAGTTCCGCATCCCAGAAGTTTTGTTAGTTGTACAGTTAACCCTTGAACAACATGGGACTGAACTGCACAGTTCACTGATACATGGATTTTTTTCAACAAATACATACTAAGGTACTGCGTCACCTACCGTCGGTTGAATCCACTGATGTGGAACCAGGGATATGGAGGCCCCACTGTAAAGTGATACTTGGATTTGCCACCGTTCATGGGTTGGCACCTCTAACCCCCGAGTTGTTCAAGGGTCAACTGCATTTTCATTTTTATCCAGATTTTTTTTAAATTCCCTTGTGATTTCTTCTCAGAACTGTCAGTTGTTTAAAAATGAAAGTTGTTTACTTTCCCCATTTGATGGATATTTCTGTTTCCCTTCTGCTCTTTGTCTCCGGTTTCTCTTCGTTGTGGTTCGGGAAGACGCCTGTTACGGTCCCAGCCTTCTTAATTGTGTTCAGATCTCTTTTGCGGCCTAGCGTGTGGTCTGTCGTGGAGAAGGCTCACATGTGCTGGAGACGCATGTGTTTGCTGCTGCTGTTGAGTGGAGGATCTGTGCGGTCTGTTCGGTCCAGTCGGCCTGTAGTGTTGCTCAGGGGCTCAGTTTCCTTATCGACCTTCTCTCTGGTTCCATCCGTAAGTGAAACTGGGGCACGGAAGTCTCATGCTGTTACTGTGCTGCTGTCTGTTTCTTCCTTCATTTCTGTCAACGTTTGCTTTATCTGGAGCGCTAATGTTGGACACGTATCTGTATTGATAATTGTCATAGCTTCGTGGTGAGCTGACCTTTTTGTTGTTATGTGTTGTCCTTTGTCTCTTGTGACAGTTTCTGTCTTTAGTCTGTTTTGTCTGATAGAACATAGTCACCCCTGCTTTCATTAGGGCCCCGTTGGTGTGGAATCTTCCCTCCACTTAACATTTTCATCCGATCTGTGTCCTTGGACTTGTGCATTTTGACAGTTCCGGCTTATGGACTCTCTCTTGCTCTCACTCTTTATTTTTTCCTCTTTTTTCATCCTCTTCTGCTGGTCCCTGCTTAGGCATATTGTACAGAGGTGAATGGCAGGAGCTCTGGCTTTTTTCCACTGTAATTTAAGACAAAATGCATCTAGTGAAATATTTTTGCTTAATAAGCAGTTTTCCTTTTTGTCATGATTTTTAAATATCCAAGAATTTTTTTCAAGTACCTCCTACTGTAATTTTTTAAAACATTGGGGGTGGGTATAGCTCACTGGTAGAGTACATGATTAACATGCAGAAGGTCCTGGGTTCAATCCCCAGTACCTCCATTTAAATAAATAAATAAATAAACCTAATTACCTCCCCCCTACCAAAAAAAAAAAAAAAAGAAATGAAAAATCTTAATCTCTTAAATTAATGTGTAACACTAGTAACTACTCTAATCTTGAATCATCTTATTGGAAGAATAAACAGATACACTCTGGCTTTTTTCATGTGTAAATATCTGAATTTAAATGGATAAAACAATGTTTATATTTTTCAGTATAGGTATTTTATAGAGATTATAGTTAAAAGTATTCTATATTTTTTTCACATTTATACCATTTTTTTTACTAGCCTACTATAGAATAATGTTGACAAACTAAGTTAAGTACAATTGATACATTTTCCCTTTCCCAAATATGAAATATATGGGAATAAAAATGATAATGAAAAAAAATCATTCCAAAGTATTAGAGACAACTCTTCTCATTTCAGTTAATTTAAATCTGTTTACATGTGTATGGTTGTGCAGGTCCGTGGTTTTTATAGAAGATATGATCTTTCATAAATATATACTACATTTTTTTTAGAAGTTGAACTCATCTTAAATGTATTCCATGCTCTAGGAGAGGGGGGTATAGCTTAGTGGTAGAGCACATGCTTAGCATAAAGCATAGGATCCTGGGTTCAATCCCCAGTACCTCCATAAGAAAATTTAAAAATAAAAATTAAAAAAGAGACAATTACAAAAAAATCCCATGCCTTGAATTTTTTTCAACATTATCATCTTAATGATTAAAATAAATAGGAAGAATAATGTGTTAATGTGCATGCGTGTGTGTGTGTGTGTGTGTGTGTGTGTAAACGATGACCTTTTATATGCAGTTCCATGTTAATCTTGAACTTGTTTCACGTTTTCTCAGTTGGAGAACCCTGTGTGACTGTACTTCTCAATCTCTTACTTCAGTGGTTGATTTCTTAGGTTCAGTTCTAAAGCCCAACCACCTTAAGTTCAGGTACTTTTACCATTTCTTAACTGTTTGACCTGAGGCGAGTTTCTTAGTGTCTGTGACCCAGTTTTCTACTCTGTAAAATGGAACCAGATCTTTCTCTAATGATCTATTGTAGTGGTAACAGGTTCACGCCTGTATAACATTTAGAGTGATTAACATACAGGAAGTTACATGACATACACTTATACAAGAAGTGTTCAAAAACCTGTAGTCATTGCTATTTTTATCATCATCACAATTTTTAGATTCTGACCTTTCTTGAACACTTCTGTAGAGCTGACCCAGCGCTGAATTTTCTTCTGTAAACTTCATATAATATACGCAAAAATGAGAAATCCACATTGATTTGGAGGCTGTCATAACCTATGGAAAAGCACAATAAATTAGAGATGCAATATTGTCTCCAAATACCTCTCCATAGATCTATCAGAACACACGCTTCAGCCGAATTCATCCTCACCCCTCTCTCCTCTTCTCTTGCGTGCAAATAAGAGCTCTGCTCACGGCCCCTTTGTGAAGTGTGTTTTCATTTCAGGGACAGTTGACCTTCGAGGACGTGGCCATCGAGTTCTCCCAGGAGGAGTGGGAGTGCCTGGACGCTGCCCAGAGGGCCTTGTACAGGGATGTGATGCTGGAGACCTGCAGGAACCTGCTGTCCCTGGGTGAGAGGACTTCCCCACGGAAGTTGTCTCTGCGTTTTCCCTGCGTGCCCCTTAGGAGGCCTTGTTTAGCTTGACTGATCAGAGATCCCTGTTGACTCAGATGTGAAAAGCTTCATGATGCAACATCAGGATGTTAAACCTGCCCTTTCATCATATGATCTGCCCACGTTATGATACATCATGGGTGGTGGGCCCAGAGCTTAAAATATGCATCAAACTATAAGGTTTGATTTAGGCCAATTTAAAATATCCACTTCTCTCTTTTCTACTCCTGTGCTTTTGACTCAGTAGTTCTTCAAAGAGAGCTAGATGTCTGCATATTATGCTGTTCTCTGTGCATTCAGAAGGAGGCAAGCAGTGGATGAATTTTTGTGAAACATTTTCTTAATACCTTCTCACCTTAGCTGAACAAAGAGCTGGGATTCTGGAAGCTTCACTGCACATGATGTCCCTTTCTTCTTACTAGCAGGGATTTCTTTTCCTGACCTGAATATTATTATCCCCATTTTGGAGTAAGGACAGAGAGCACTGGACTGTGGAGAGGGGAGGGAAAATAGCAAAAACAAAACAAAACAAAACACACGGAGGTGGGAAAGTATCAAAGGTGTGAACACAGGTCAGGTCTCAGTTGGACAGAGAGGAAGCCACACCATTAATAGTTTTGGGGAAACTCTCCCCAAGTGGGAGAGTTCTGTGGGGAAACAAGTTTATTTCTCGTGAACTCAGAGGAGATGTTTCTTATCCCCTACTTACCAGCCAGTCCTTCAACATGGGAGCTGTGTTCTTTCACCCTCCAGTGGTGCTGCAGCTGTGCCAGAGACAAAGAAGGTCTTTCCCATGATCTACACTCTGTCATCTGGCCCCTGAGAACTCATTGGTCCTTAACTTTGAGGAGCGTGGGATGGGCTGGGGTTTTCTTCTCCTCTTTTTTGGAGATGGGGAGCAGTAATTAGGTTTCTATTTATTTATTTAATGGAAGTACCGAGGATTGAACCCAGAACCTTGTGCATGTTAGGCATGCACTCTACCACTGAACTACACCCCACTCACCCCAAATGGGCTGTTTTAAAGGGATTTCTCTCTCCTTTGTGTCCCCTTGTGTACTTCATTTCATTGGATGCTCAGTTCCTAGTCCATATAGATCAGAGCTGATGCCTCCGTTGTACCAACCCTTGGACCGATCTCGATTCCCTCCCATTTGCTGAACTTGGAAGACCTAATCAGGAGATGGGAAAACACTGGCTACTCTTTGATTCCATCTGTCACCCCAGAGCCTGCGTGGAGCTGCCTCAAGCCTTGTCTGCCTGTTCGGATCCCTCAGCCCTTTCTTCTGTTTTTGTCACACAGCTTGGGGTTGTGTAATAGGAGGTGGGTTGGATCATCTGTGATTGTTACTTAGGAAAACTACTGTTAAGACAGTGGACAGACAGATCCTCTTTTTGATCCCAAGTCCTACATGCGGAGCATAGATATCCATCTTTCAGGCGTGTCTGTGGGTAGAGCCCACAGTCCCATCCCAAGACCCTGCAGTGTCTGACTGCCGCGTCTTGTAGTTTTGTCTCTCTTCCACTGCTCTGCCTGGTTGGGAATGTAGGCTCTTCCTGATTTCATATTGTCTTTTCTGGGAAATTCTTTTTATTCACAGGATAAAGCATCATCTCCTTTGTATTTTCTTCCCCCTCCAGGTTTATTGAGATAGAATTTAAAGTGTACACTGTGATGGTTTGATAAACGTATGTATTGTGAAAAGATTACCACAATAGGTGTGTTAACACATCCATTAATTCACGTCATAGCAACTTTTTGTGTTCCCAGTCCTCCCCCACTGGGTTATTTATTTATTTTTTTATTGAGGGTATAGTTGATTTACAACATTAAATTAGTTTCAGGTGTACAACATAGTGCTTCAAAATTTTTATAGATTTTACTTCATTAAAGTTGTTATAAAATATTGGCTATATTCCCTGTGCTGTACAGTATACCCTTGTAGCTTTTTTATACATAGTAGTTTGTACCTTTTAATCCCCTACCGCTATCTTGCCCTACCCTTCCCTCTCCCCACTGGTAACCACTAGTTTGTTTTGTTCATTTCTTTGTTTTATTTTTTAGATTCCACATATAAGTGATAACATACAGTATTTGCCTTTCTCTGTCTGCAGACTTATTTCACTAACCTCAGTACCCTCCAGGTCTATCCATAGTGTTGTAAATGGCAAAAACTTATTCATTTTTATGGCTGAGTAATTTTTCAGTGTGTGTGTGTGTATACCACGTCTTCTTTATCCATTCATCTGTTGATGGACAATAAAGCTGCTTCCATATCTTGGCTATTGTAACAAATGCTCCCGTGAATATTGGGGTGCATATATCTTTTTGAATCAGTGTTTTCATTTTCTTCAGTTCTTTACCCAGAAGTGAAATTGCTGGGTCACATAGTAGTTCCATTTAAATTTAGTTTTTTGAAGAACCTCCATGCCGTTTTCCACAGTGGCAATACCAGTTTACTTTCCCACCAGCAGTGTCAAAGTGTTCCCTTTTCTCTGCATTCTCACCAACATTTGTTACTTGTGGTTGAAGGTCTACTGTCTTAACAGTTTTTAAGTGTATAATACAGTATTGACAACTGTAGTTATTATGCTGCACATGAGCTCCCAAGAGCTTACTCATCTTACAACTGGAGTTTTATACTCTTTGATGAACATCTCTCCATTTCTGCCTGCCCCCAGCCCCTGGCGTCTACTTTTCTATGCTTCATTTCTATTTGTTTGGCTTTTTTTTTTTAATATTTCACATATAAGTGACATCACACAGTTTTTCTCTTTCTCTCTCTTATTTCACTTAGCATAGTACCTTCAGGGTCCATCCATGTTGGTACAGATACTAAGATTCCCATTTTGTTCATGGCTGAATAATATTCCTGTGTGTGTGTGTGTGTGTGTGTGTGTATCACATTTTCATTATCCATTAAGCTCTTGGACACTTAGGTTGGACACTTACGTTGTTCCCATGTCTTGACTATTGTAAATAATCCTATAATGAACATAGAATGCAGAAACACGTCTTTGAAATACCAATTTCATTTCCTTTTGATGTATACCCAAAAAAGTGGGATTGCTGCACCATATGGTAGTTCTCTTTACAATATTGCAAGGAACCTCTGCGCTGGTTTCCATAGTGGCCGTGCCAATTTACATTCCCGACAGCACTGCACTGGGGTACCCATCCCTCTGCATCCTTGCTGGTACTTCTCTTTTTGATCACGGCCATTCTAACAGGTGGGAGGTGGTATCTCACTGTGGCTTTGATTTGCATTTCTTCCCAAGGGAGGACCTGGGAACTGGGAGGCTTTCTCCAGTTTGATCTCACTGCAGTGTGCCTCGAAGGGAGGGAGGCAAGGTCAGGCAAAGTGACATGAGCGTTTCTTCACTTTTGGTTCAGTGTTTCTGGGGTAGGAATTTGATGGACTCCCGTAGCTTCTTCACTAATGTCTAGAGTTTCCCCAAAGGACTTTTTGTTTCTATGCTGTAGTTTAGTTGGTTCTCCATGGGTTAACTCCATGCCTGGAGTTTATGGTTCTTCTGTCTTGCTGACATCACTCCTCATATCTTTCTTTTTTTTTTTTTTTTTTTTTGCATAGATTGTGTGAAAAGATCCAATAATATGACTTCTTATTATTAGAGAAGGCCAGCAAAAAAGACACTAGTATATATTTTATTTTTATTTATTTATTTATTTTTGTTTTCTTTTGTTTGTTTTGTTTTGGTTTGGTTTTTGGTTTTTTAAGGAGCTATGTTTTTTCACCCCCAGGTTTTTTTTTTCTTGTTTGTTTTGTTTTTGTTTTGTTTTTTGGAGTGGGGAGGTAATTAGATTTATTTATTTATTTTCTTAATTGAAGTACTGGGGATTGAATCCAGGACCTTATGCACGCTAAGCACACACTATACCACTAAGCTATACCCTCCACCCCATACTATTATAATTTTTAATAACAAAAAGTTTTAGACTGAACAATTTATATACCAAAATTATTAAATTTCTTTTTTTAACAATATGTTATATAATTAGTATGTTAGTGAGATTCTTTTTTTTCCCCTTTATTAACTAATGCAGTCACATCCTTAAAATGCTCAGACCTTGGCGTAAAACTGCTTGCTAACTTTGTTTCCTCCAACAAACTTGCGCACCCAGCCAGATCATCGTTTGGAACCCAGGGTCTCCCTACCTTGCTGTACCGTCGATAAGATTTCATCGTTTTTGCATTTGTGGATACAGAATGGTGGCCATTTCCTGGTTTTCCCTCCTGGGTCCTGCTAAGAGCATTCTTGCATGCATCTCCTAGAATATCTGTCTTTTCCTCTGCAGTAGTCACCGGGAAATGGAACTCCTGGGATTTTCAATTTAATAAGTTTCATAGCAAGTATTACAATAAATGTAAACCTGATTCCTTTCTGCAACATTACTGTCTCCCTTTTCAGAATCTCCTCTTACACTCTTCTCAGCCACTGAACAAATTTCTCAGGACACCACGTAAATCAGTATGTGCAGGGGGGATGACTCAGAAGTCATTTCCAGGAGGGGTGGCTGGGTAAAACTACCACATGACCGCGCTGAACTGCCTGGAAGTGTTGCTTTCCAAGCTCTTGGTATTTGTTGTATTTTTTTGGTAATTTGTACTGTTCAGTGGGCAGTCATGCTTAAGAACATGTTGTCTGAGTCTGTGGGTCCAGGCTGAAATCCTCTCACTTCCTGTGTCAGTTGGGGCTATGTACATAAACCCTCCAAGTCTGCTGCCCTTATTTGCAAAATAATGATGATTTACCTCAGGTGCTTTTTTTATGGCAGTATTTATATTTATTTTTGCATCGCTTTGGATGAAAACCATTTAAGCAATGTTAGATAAGGTGTTATTCTCATAAAAGCATCTTCTTTCAAAACAATTGCATTTCTTAAGGGGGAAGGTATTTAGGTTTATTTACTTATTTTTAGAAGAAGTACTGGGGACTGAACCCAGGACACTGTGTATGCTAAGCATGCGCTCTACCACTTGAGCTATACCCTCCCCTTAATCCAAATGCACTTTTATTTTCCTTAAAAGTTAAAATTACATGCTGAAACAGAGTTCATCACTTAACACAAACAATATCAGAAGGCTTATAGAGTAAGACCAGATAATGAGCTACTACCTCAGGCTTTTAAAACAAACAAGTACTGTTAGATGACTTAGAATATTGCACATTTTACAGAAAGACTCACAAGTTACTGTTTTGAAAGACATAGATCAACTGTCATATTTATTGTGAGGTATCCCTTTGTTTGCATTATATTTTTGTGTGATTTTATTTTGCAAATTGTTCTCAACAGCGTTCTCTGACCTTAGTTAATGCATTTTCAGAGCACGCACTTCATATTACGGATATTTTGGGGACAGTGACTGGATAATTGAAAGGCACTGCAGAGATGGAGAGCTGCTCTGATTGGCTGTTAGGTGACAGCAGTCATGAAATCATAGTCGTGACTTCTGAATTCTTCCTCCAGCTCTTACTCTTTATAAGGTTACATGTTTTCCTGACCTGATACTTTGGAAGTCAGTTATCTCGACACCTTTTACACTTTTCATATTGTGTGCTCTTTCTAAAATGAAAGTCCTTTCTTCATTCTTTTATTATTTTTAATGGAGATACTGGGGCTTGAACCCAGGATCTCGTGCATGCTGAGCACATGCTCTACCACAGAGCTATACCCACCCTCCTTTCTTTAGTCTTGCCATAGAGTATACTTTTTCTATAACATGGCTCCTTATTACTGCTGGTTTTATCATGGGTTACTAGAATAATATATTTATTAATTTTTACTGTGATTTACAGATGGTCTTTCAGAATATCTTATGCAATATAACTGGTATGTACTTGTTAATGTTATAGAATGCCTTTCTTAAAAAAAAAAGAATGCCTGTTCTACATGAGCACGGATGCTTTTATAACAGCTATTTAGAGAAAATTTCTTTTTTTAATATTGTTTTATTAAATTTTTCATTTACTCAGTGCTATATTTTGTAATTCTGAACTGCCATTTGTTTAGGTTGTTAGATTAGCCTGTTTTGGATTACTTACCATTACAATGTATTATCTATTTTTTAGCATTCATTTATGTACAGTAAGTATGCAGATTTCAGATGCAGAGTATGTACAATCAGTATGCATTAAGTACCCACAAAATATGTCTAATATTTTCCGTCTCGTTATGAGGCATTTACAGTGAGTTGGTATGTGCTTTGGGGTCATGGTGGAAAACACCCTTTCTTTGAAAGCTAACGTAAGCTTGCAAAACGTGAGTGTTTTTGTAACAGGGTGTTTGAAATGAGGCTACCCTAAAATTAATTTGAATCACAGGTGATTGCACTTTCTTTATTAAAGAATCCTACGTCTTTAATGTTTCTCAAATTTTGAAGATCATGATGGGGAATTTTCACAGCTACATTCAGTGTAAGTATTATTTTTGGCGTAATATTACGTGTCCAGGATGAAACATTTATTTACAAAATGTAATTAATAAGATACCTATGGTTCTTTGTATCTTGTAGATATCTCTCCCTCACATGTTACCAAGAAATTACAACCAAAGGAGAACACTAATACAACAGATGTATTCCAAACCGTGATCTGGGGAAGACTCGGAAGTCATGAAGTCAGAGATGTGCACCTCAGGAGAATCCGAGAAAAAATGTATGACTTTGAGTGTCGGTGGAGAGATGATGAGAGAAGTGAGAAAGGAATGGGTAGAACCCATGGGGAACATCTCACTGACGGAAAAGATCAACGTGGTAGAAAAGATGCAGGAAACAAGCCCGTTGAAAATAAGCTTGGATCAAGCTTTCGAGATAAACTTCCGATCCCTCAAACCCAAGGGGAAATTTTTGAATGTAATCAAACTGCGAACGCTGCCAACAGCGCCGGCTCATTTTCACTGCCTGAAAGAACTCCTCCGAGTGTCCAAACTAGCGTTTCTAACACACGTGGGAACGACCCCATCCATCCTCCGGGACTGACACAGGACGGCGCAGCACAGAGCGAAAAACCTCACAAATGTAACGAGTGTGGCAAAAGCTTTAATCGCAGCTCGAACCTCACTAGACATCAGATGATCCATACGGGAGAGAAACCGTATAAATGTGACGTCTGTGGCAGGGTTTTCAGTCAAAATTCATACCTTGTAAATCACCTGAGACTACACACTGGAGAGAAGCCTTACAAATGTAACGAGTGTGGCAAAGCCTTCACGATGCGTTCAAGCCTCACGAAACACCGGGTCACCCACACTGGAGAGAAAGCTTACCGATGCAATGAGTGCGGCAAGGCCTTTTTCCACAGCTGCAAACTCGTGAGACATCAAAGAATCCACAGTGGGGAGAAACCACACAAATGTAACGAATGCGGCAAAGCTTTCATGCAAAGTTCGAGCCTGGCTGACCATCAGAAAAGTCACACCGGAGAGAAACCCTACAAGTGTGATGTGTGTGGCAAAGCCTTCGTTGTGCGTTCAAGCCTGATCGACCATCAGGTGATGCACACCGGCGAGAGACCTTACCAGTGCAGCGAGTGTGACAAGGCTTTCCTCAAGCACTCGCAGCTGAGGCGTCATGAGACAATTCACACCGGAGAGAAGCCGTACAAATGCACCGAATGCGGCAAGGCCTTCAGGCAGTGGTCTGACATCAGGATTCACCAGCGAATTCATTCTGGAGAGAAACCTTTTAAATGTAAAGAGTGTGGGAAAGCCTTTACTATGGGTTCGCACCTTACTACACATCAGATCATCCACACTGGAGAAAAACCATATAAATGCGATATATGTGACAAGGTCTTCAGTCAGAACTCACACCTGGCAAGTCATCGGAGAATTCACACTGGGGAAAAGCCGTACAAATGTAATGAGTGCGGCAAAGCCTTTAGTGTGCGTTCAAGCCTCACTTACCATCAGGTAATTCACACTGGAGAGAAATCTTACAAATGTAAGGAATGTGGCAAGGCTTTTATGAAGCCTTCGCGTCTTCGGCATCATGAGAGGATTCACACCGAAGAGAAGTCATACAAGTGCATTGAGTGTGGCAAGACCTTTCAGCAATGGTCTGACATCAGGATTCACCAGAGAATTCATCCTGGAGAGAAACCTTTCAACTCTAGCATGGGTGGTAAAGCCTCCACTCAGGACTCACACCTCACGGCACAGCAGAGAATCCCTCCGGGAAAGAAACCATATAAATGTGACGTGTGCGACAAGGTCTTCAGTCGGAATTCAAACCTGGCAAGTCATCGGAGATCTCATACTGGAGAGAAACCGTACAAATGCTAATGTGGCAAAGTCTTCAGTCAGAACTCATACTTTGTAAATCACCAGAGAATTCACAGCTGAGAGAAAGCTTACAAATGTAATGTGTGTGGCAAAGCCGTTAGTGTGAGTTCAACCCAAAGTAAACATCAAGCAACCCACACTGGAGGGAGACCTTACAGATGTGACGCACGTGGCAAGGCTTGTGGCAGGTGTTCACACCTGCTGCTTCACAAGAAAACTCATGCTGGAGAGGACTCACATCAGTCTATGGAATGTGGCGAAGTCTTTTAGACAGTAGTCCTACCTCAGGATTCACCAAAGAGTTCATTCTGGGGAGTAACCTTCCAGGCACCATGAGTGTGGTGATGCTCTTACTCGGGGCTCCCACCCCACCCACTATCACATAATCCATTCTAGACAGACCCTTACAAATGTCCTGAGTGTGGCAGTTGCCTTAAACTCAGTGTTCACCAAATTACACCCTACCTACAAATGCAGTGAATGTGACAGTTTCAAATTATTGCTTGCTTTTCACTAAATATAAGAATCTATATTTTGTAACTACTGTATATAAAATAGATAAGCAAGTTTCTACTGTACAGCACAGGGGACTATATTTAGTATCTTGTAGAAACTTATAATGAAAAAGAACATGTATGTAGGTATAACTGAATCACTATGCTATGCACCAGAAGAAACTAACACAACATTGTAAGTCAACTATAGTTCAATTTTTTGAAATTTAGGTAAAAACAAGTTTCTACTGTAGAGCACTGGAGACTATATTCAGTATCTTGTAGTAACCTGTAATGAAAAAGAATATGAAAACAAATATATGTATGTATATGTATGAACGAACTATTATGCTGTACACTGGAAATTAACACAATATTGTAAACTGATTATAATTGGAAAAAAGTCCACATTCTGGAGTGAAACCACACAAGTGCAGTGTGTGGTATAAAGATTTTACCCAAATATCAAACATTGATGAACACACTGGATCAACACCTTATAAATGCAGTCAACCCGGCAAGGACTTTCCCTGAAGTTCAAATATCAACGTGAACACAGTCCATATTGAAGCGAAATCAAGTAAATGTATGTGGCAGAGGCTTTATTCAGGCCTCACAATGCACTAGACTTCAGAATATGCATCTTTGAGAGAAACCACAGAAAAGGAATGTGCATGCTAAGCCTTCTACCCACAGATCAAAACTGTGGCACATCAGAGGGTTTAATTTGGAGAGCGGCCTTACCAGTGTTGTGACTGTGGTAAGGCTTCATCAGATGTCCATGCTTTTGGCATAATGAGAGAATTTATGCAGCACAGAACACATGCAAATATATATTTAACTTGGAAATACCTTTAAGAACCAGTATGTCTTCAGGATTCACCAAAGAATTCATATTGGGAAGAAGCTTTATAAAAGTAATGAATTTGGTGAATTTCTTGACCAGTTCTCACAATGGACCACACTTCAGAGGATCCATGCTAGAAATAACTAGGTCTTCAGTTTTCTGAGGTTAACCTGAGATGGTATACTGCAGAATAACAGGAATGTGTCAAAATGTGTCAAAAACTCATGACATGACGTTTAATCACAGGAGCAAGGAATTGTGTGGAAATGGCACATTGTCTTTAGTGTATAAACATCTTAAACATTTGAGTTTTGAAAAGGCTACATTACTACTTATGCCTTTCCACCTGGAGTTTGAAGTCTGTTGATCCTTTTTTTTTTTTGGAGGGAGGGAATTAAGTTATTAAGTTTATTTTATTTTATTTTATTTTATTTTATTTTATTTTATTTTTTCAAATGGGGATTGAACCCAAGACCTCATGCATGCTAAGCACACACTCTACCACTGAGCTATACCATACCCGCCCTGAAGTGTGTTGATCTTAAGTCTTCATTAAGGGCCTTTGATGATGGTCTCTGGGCAAGATTCGGTAAGATGAAGGGGCCGACTTCATTAGCTGCAGTTCATTCACATCCATGCTCCCTGGGAAAACAATTGCACACTATTACCCAATTCAACAGTGTGCAAATTAGCATCAGGGAGGGGCTGAGAAAAGTGTAAAACTGGCTTGACTCATCATGCTTATTCTGCTCAGGGTGCTCTTCCATACATATAGGTCACAGTGGGTTGTTGGACAGAAGGTTCTACCAACTGACTGAACAGAGCAGGAGTGACATTAAGGGACTGACTGGGCTTTTCATGGGAGGAGAGTGACTGTTCCTAAGGACTGATTATCTGGTAGAAATAATGCAGAGGAAAAGGTGGTCACTTTCTCCATCAGATGGCAATAACTTGTATATCAATGAATGATGCAAAATTAATCTTATTCTTGAAAATTGAAGTGCTATCTTGAAATGAAATTTTGATAAAAGAACCAGAATAGTATGTGCATGTGTGTGATTCATATTTAACTGCTGCCATTACCTTTTGCTACTGTTTCATTCAGGATGTATCATGAGTCTCATGCTCGAATTAAAGTTTTTATCACTTTTTATCTGTGACTGAATGGATCATGTTTCTTCTACCAACACAGTTTCATCCCACATCGGTACCTCATAACCGAATCTAACAATGCACTGTAGAGACTTAGAATTGAAAGAATCTTCAACGATTTCTTTCTGTGATGAAATAAAAGAATATACAATTTGGGGATTATATCATTTGCAGGTGAGTTATTCTCTCCACGCTCTGTCCTAGGATTTTTATTTTATTTATTATTTATTGAAGTATAGTCAGTTTACAATGTTGTGTCAATTTCTGGTGTACAGCACGTTGTTTCAGTCACACACATGCATGCATATTGTCCCAGGAGCTTTACATCACTATACCACAACAGTGCAATTACAAGCTCTGACCCCCTAAAACCTACCCCTTCATTCATGAATATGCAGCATTACAATATTTCCTCATCTCCTCTTTTGTGCCCAAATAAAACCCATGTTACACACCTTGATTTACCTGAAGTGAAAATAGCAATAATAAAGATGGAAAAAATTAGGAAATGACAGTTTCAGAGATAAGGTTAAGAAGCTCTTTGAGCTTGGAGTACTGTAATATAATTTAGAAGGAACAATATACAGTGGGAACTTTCTAGAGTTTCATAGTATTACAGGAGAAACATGGGCCAAAATCTACTGTGATTGAGGAAATGTCTCATTTTTTGTGAATATGTCCCTATTGCTGCTTTAAAGTTATACAAACAAAATTCCCCGTAAGCAAAATGGATTCGTGACTTTCACCAATAATCAACTTCTCCTCCGCTAGTCTGTATTTAATGAAAAGTTCCACGATCCACTCATTCCCTTGCTTGGACTCATGAAAGTTCATGCTGAAGGGTCTTGTCAACATGGCTCGTTTGCAGTACTGCGTAATACAGAGCAATCCACCTCGTAGGAGCCCCAAATCTATCCCAGTCACTGCATCTTTTTAAAATGTGAATTGATGATATCTTTTCATTTGTGTGCCACCTGAAGTATAAAATGGCATAGTCCCCCAGTCTTAGACCCCAGGTCTTCTCCCTGAGTCTCTGCAACTGAGCCGTGTTGAGTTTGGCCTCCTGGGGAAATGGGGAATAGAGAAAACTGCCCATTCTACCCAGGGAGAGTTTTGTAGTTTGTAATACAGAGACAACTGAAGTTCTCATTGAAGGAAATGTTGCTGGATCCAGTCACGGTCCCGCCTGACATTCCCCAGACGCGAGTTCCTAGACCGCCGAATTGCTTCAGCCTCACTAGCAGGACTTCTGGGCAACCCGCTGGCAAACCCAGTTTTTGACTTAATCTGTTTTCAACCTGTGAAGAGGAGACATCTCAGTTTCCGACGTGTTTCACACAGCTGCAAGCGTTTGTCTTGAAACTGTTACAGGCAGTTATTTAAACTAAGCAGACAGCAACCCTGCTGCACAAAAGACACTTCAGCGTTTCTAAACTTGAAAAAGACATCTCCAGAGCGAGGCGGATGGAGAGCAGGCCCCGCCTCTGCCCCTCCCCCAGCTCATGCACGCCCCGCCCTTCACCGGTAGAGCTCCGCCCAGGCCCCGCCCCCAGCCGCGTGGGCTCTTTGCTCTGCCGGTGCGCCGCTTCTTACGGAAACGGAAGTGGGGTGCTCGGGTGGAAGGTCACACAGCAGACCGTAAGTTTCTCCCTTTTAGTGTAAATCTGCGCTTCGCAGTCCCCCGTAGTCCATCCTCAGGGCCTTGAAGTCAATACGGACCTTAAATCCCCACACCTGCTCCTCTGCCCCCAGTAAATTCAGATGTCGCTGTTAAAGGTCAGGGGTCGTTTCCCTTGGGGTTTAAAATCGCCCGAGGCTGGTAGCTGTCCTCGGGCTTTAGCCCTTCGGTCCACGAAGACACCACCTTTAGAGTCATTTTCCTTCTTGAAACCTCCTACTACCTCCGCCCCCCCTGGCACGTCCCCTTCCGCGAGGTGGACGGCGCCGGCCGCCCCGCTCCTGTAGAGCCAAGTCCTCTCCCGGGTCCCGGGATTCTGAGGACCCCGGCCTCTCCTGAGACCCCCTGCCTCCCAGCCCCTCAGTCCTCGCGTCCTCCTCAGGCCGGTCCTTCTGCTCCGCGGGCCTTCCCTTCGTAGTCAGCCCTTCCCCCACCCCGCGTAGGGGGAGGTGACCGGGGTCAGCCGTGTGACCCCGCAGTATTGTTACGTCCCACATTCCACCCCGCTGAAAAACGGTCTTTTCCAGTAGGCGGGCATCTTACTGAGTCGACATCCCTGTAAATACGTGGGCGCGGAGAATCAGGGGAAGCAGAGACAGTGGCTGAGAGAGAAGTAGAAAAACTGAGGAGAAAAGAAGGAGGGAGAACCAGTGGGAACGGTGAGGATGGCTGAGGGGTTGTAAAGAGACAGTAACCTGAAAGACAGCTGTGAAAGGAACAAGCGGATAAAACAGAAGTTTATAGAAGGGGGATAGACTGGTGAGCAGAATAGGGCGGCAAAGCAGCAGTGGGATAGTGGGCAGCACTGGTGAAGCACTGTGGGAGCCCATGATTCAGTTAATAAATTGTGACAGACCCCAGCCGCTTGTGACCTTGAAGAAGAACAAATGTGCTTTGCTAGCAGGTGCCTGTGCATTTGCACGCCTGTCTCCTTGCCATAAAAAGCAGGGACAATGCGCTGCTTGCGTAGTTGAGGTTTTAGCCTAGGGCTGCTTCCAATGGCAAAGCCATTGTGTGTCCCTTGCTATAAACGCAGGACACGGCTTATTTTAAGCATAGGTCCATAGTTTAGGATTTACTCTTCTCGTATGACCTATGCCCTCGGCTATAAACGCTGGGCATGCCTTCTGCTGTTTAGTGTGTAATCCCCAAGACGAGGGACTGGCTAGTCTGGTGGTCTGTTTTGTAATCAACTTAGGTCTGAAGAGTGTACCTTGTTCCCCTCTCCCCATGTCTGTCCTGAAGATAAATTAAGCCTTTGTACTCATTATGGATTCTATAATCTCTACCCCATCCCGTCTTTCTTTAAGCTCCTACATCCCATGACACAGCTATTGGTGATTTTTCCTTTGACTGTACACAATAAATGTGGGCGCATTTGAGAGGCTTGAGGAGTTGATCCCCGACTCCCTCTCGCTCTCTTGACTTTCCACAGTCTCAAGTAATTCATTCCATCTCGGTGGGACTTCTGCCAGTCAGAACCCACAACTGGTGACCCCGATGTTATTGATTACACAGCGACGGAATGGCACACTTCAGCTGGAGAGAGACTGCATCCTGATCCCCGTAGATTTCACTCCTGTAAAGGAACAGCAACACCCACTTGGGATAGTTGCCAACATGCCTAGAATTCAGAGAGAGCCTTGTTTTGCTTTCATTTTCTTACTATGGGTCAACAATTAACTAAGGAACAAATGATCTACCTCCTCACCTTGCAGCAGCTGCTGAAAGCATCTCACTGCTCCCTGTCAGAGAGCAACTTATTAAATTGTTACAAATGGTACAAGAGATTTGTCTCTGGTTTCCAGACCATGGAACAATCAATTTGGAATTCTGGGAACAGGTTGGTAAGAATTTAAAACGTAGGCATCAGCAAAGGGGGAAAAAATCCCTGCTTCCATTTTAACTACTTGGAATTTGGTACGCACTGCTTTATGTCCCTTATACTCTTATTTGCAGACTAATTACGTTGAACCTGAACCCTGTTCTTCCCCTTCCTCCCCTCCTACTACTTCACCCCCAGTCCTTTCTGCACAGTTTGCCCCTCTTTCACAGATCGATTTGCCGCTGCCACCGCCTCCTCCCTCTCCTGAGGAGTATGATTGTAAGCAAACTGCTGTGGAACAATGTTTTAAAGAAGGTTTACATTTGGGAGAGCTGCATGCTTTCCCGGTGATTGCAGGGCGTGGCAAGGTGTTAAGCATGAGGCTGTCCCTTTCTCTGTATTCAAGGAGCTAAAAACTAGTGTTATAGAAAATGGGACTCAGCGTTCATTTACTAAAGGTATTCTTGATACAGTTGGAAATGCATATGTTATGACTCCTTGGGACTGGAGAGCTCTTGTAAAAACTGTCTCAACTCCTGCTCAGTTTGCTATTTGGTCTTCTGAACATCATGAAGTTTCTCTTACAAGCTGCTCGTAATGCTGATGCTAATAATGGTACACCTATAGAAGTGCTTGAAGGAACAGGTCACTATGCTGACCCTCAGCAGCAGATCCATGTGGGTAGGCTGGCTTTTAGGCAGTGTACTGACACTGCCCTCGCGGCGTGGTGTAAAGTTCCCGCAACCAGAGCTGCCGCTGGCTCCTTTGTTACCATTCAGCAAGGCGCCACAGAACCTTACGTTGATTTTATTAATTGCTTAGAACTGAGCATCTCTCACCAAGTAGATGATCAGGAGGCAGCGAGAGTGCTCTTACAACAGCTGGCTTATAAAAACGCTAATGCAGATTGCCAGGCAGCGCTTGCCAGTATTCGAACTCAAAACAAAAATACAGCCAATTATATAAGAGCTTGCCAGAATGTGGGAACTGAAACCCATCGTGCTCAGGCCCTTGCAGCTTTAATGAGATCCACTTCTGCCGTGACCTGCTTTAAGTGTGGTAAACCTGGCCATGGTCAAAGGGAATGCTGCCAGCCCAATAAGGGAGGGCAAGGAAGTCCGCCTCAAAAATTAACCTAACAAAGACTGCCCTCGGTGCGGCAAAGGAAGGCATTGGGCAAACCAGTGTCGCTCTAAATCTGAGAAGGATAGCAATCTGATTTCGGGAAATGGGAAATGGGGCGCCAGCTCCCCTGCCCCAAACCCCAAGTGGAACAGCCCCACCCGGCCAGCTCAAACACAGGTCTCTCTGACCCAGTCTCCTCGGCCCAGTCCTGCGGAGACCCCTTCAGCAGTGCGTCCGCAGTGGACTTGTGTTCTACCTCAGAATTAGTTCTTAAGGAACTAGATTGTATATACTCCGCCTTCACTGGAATGTCTGGCCCTTTCCCTGAAGGGACCCAGGGTCTAATCGTAGTCTGCTTAGACGGATCACAGCAAGGCGTTCTGGTTCTACCTCAGCTACTTGATTCTGACTTTGCTGGTGAAGTGGAAGTGCTTTTACAGCCCTCCGGACTTCACGTCCTCTCTCCGGGGACCTGGCCTGGAAAACTTCTGCTCCTTCCCCTTAAAGGGACCTTGCCAGCCCTATAACTAGTCATCCTTTGGCTACGACAGCCCTTTACTGGGCGAAAAGGATTGAGTCTCAACAGCCTCTTGTACCGGAAAATCTAAGTGGCATAACTGTTCATGGATTATTAGGTCCGGGGCAGGTGTCTCTTACCGCGCAGCACGAGCGGCCTCCTCGGTGGGAAGGATCTGTAGGCCAGTCAGTCATTGCTGGTGTTGGGGGGACAGATCTGCCAATGCAAAGTAAAAAGTCTCTCAGATGCACAGGCGCCTGCTAGCAGAGCACATTTGTTCTCAAAGGTCACAAGCGGCTGGGGTCTGTTACAATTTATTAACCCAGTCATGGTCTCCCACAAGGCACTTCACACAGGGAGTGGGGGGAGAAGCTGAAAGAGATAGGAACCATGGCCTTCAGAGCTACATGGTGCTGGGAGAGAAGGGAAAATGAGTGACTGGAGCAGGAAGAGAGAGCGGGAAGACGTATAACCACCAGGGGGTGCCGGAGAGTGGGGCCTACGGGAGTGTAACCCGGAGGGCAGAGAGGGAGCCGAGATGAGGCAGGGAGGCAGAAATAATGGAGATTTAGGACATTCGGAAGGGTTGGGGAGAACGGGCAACAAGATGAGGAACAAGTTGCAGAGTGGGCCAGGCCGGGTGTGAGGGAGGAAATGAGGGGAGGGGAGAAACAGCAGGAGAGCAGAGGGGAACAAAAAGAGACAGAGACAGAAAGAAATAGGGAGAGAGAGAAACTGAAATGGAAACACAGCAGAGCGGGGAGAGGGGGAAACTAGATGCGGATGGGTGGTGAGCTGATTTTATGTGGATAATTAAGTTGTGATATATTGATTCTTAGCCTTAGAATCTAATTTAAAGCTTGTTTGTTTAAATTATACAGATGAGGATAAGAATGACAAAACTCCTGTCTGCGAGGCTTGTGCATTTTGTAATTGTTTGTATGAGAAGATAGTTTCCGTTTGCCATCCCTGCTCAGCCAGAGGGCAGTGGCTTGTTCACTCAGTTGTGGTCACCCCCTTCGCGGCAGAGGACTGGGGAGAGGACACGTGCGGCAAGAAATGGCCAACTCCGTCACTACATTAAAAGGAACATTGAAAGTGGTGGGGGGTTTTTGTAATGGATTTACTTTTGTTTCTCATTTCTTTACATGTAATTCTTTTTGTAGCTTGGGATAAAAATTAGTTCATTCAGTATCTACTTTCCTGCAAATAATTATTCACTTCTGAAATAAGATTTGGTGGCCTCCTATAATCAATTCATGTCATTCTTTTCTCAATATGCTCTATTCTCAACTTTTTTTTCACTTTGCAGAATTCTTTAGATTAAAAAAATTTTTACAAATTGATTCTCTCTCTCTTTCTTCCCTGTTTTTACAAATGGATTCTCTTTAAGTTTGTTTCACGTTTATTTGAGGCCTGTTTGCTTTCTTCTCTTTACCCTATGTCTTGGGAAAGTTCTTTGGTAACTAGTAAAATATATTAGCCTATTTTGATGAATAGTTGGTGAGGATGTCGTGATCCTTTATAATAACCCAGGTTTTATTGCCTCCACATCAAACTCCCACATCGAAGATGCCCTTCTCCGTCGGTTATGTTGAGTCCTTCCCATTTTCCCTCCGCTGGGCCTCACGCAGCCTCCGTCTGCCCCCCAGGACAGCTGCGGCACCTGTTTTGGGGTTGTATTTAGAGGCTGTGTGTTGGGCTGAATATTTTTCTGGGACGACTAGGGGGCTAGAGCAGGTGATGAGGATGCTTCTCGTATTTCCTCTGGAAATGCCAGTTGATTTGTACATTCTGTGGCTGCTCAAAATAAGAACGAAAGGATGTTGTTAAGCCTAAAAAGCCCCACAGAACTGGGGTCCTTCTGCAGTGTCCTGAGGTGTCCCCATGTTTATCTGCTCCGCTGTAGTCCCCAGGTCTACCAGGCTGCGCACTTCCAGTGACGGTTGCCACCTTGGACAGGAGCTTTGCCTCCAGCAGTGCATCTGCTGGGGTGGGGGATGCTGATTTCACAGTGTTAAGAGTGAGCAGATGGTCAGGAACCCAAGGGGGCATGAAGGAGGCCCCCCCCACGTAAAGAGCTGGTGTGTCTCCCTGTTCGCTGTGAGAGGGGAGAACAGGAGACGGTGAGATCTGGGGCCTCTCTGTCCTTGCGACTTCTTCGCTGAACTCAATCCAGCTAAATCTCAAATGCCTTTAAAGCTCAACTCTGTGACATCCCCAGTTGCTGGCAGGTTTTCCCAGGAGGCCCAGCTTCCTGAGCTCCCTCCTGAGTGCCCAGTGTCGTTTGGGTGGCAGCTTGTTCATTTCTGTTGCAATGCCGGTGCCCACTGTCCCTGTGACTTTTAGCCCAGATGCTCAGTCTTGCATGGAGGAGAGGTAGAAAGATGAGGGGAGTGGAGGGGAGCCTGTGGGATCTGCAGGAGGGACCTGGCAGCCGGTGTGGGCATCGGGATGAGCCCCGTGAGCAGTGTGTGCACCTGTGTAAAGCGTAATCATGGGACCAAGGGATGGATGTCTTAGTTCTGGCTGGAGGACCTGGCAGTGGGTTCCTGGCTAACTGGGGGCCGCATGGAATGGTGGGGGGCACCGTGGTGTCTTAGCGCAGGTTCCCTGGGACACAGATGCTGAGACTGAGATTTGCATGCATGGTGCTAAGAGGGTGGTTCATGATCACACCTGAGGAGCAATGAACCAGTGGGATTCGGCTGAGAGGAGCACTGTGCTGCAGTGTTAGAACCCAGGCCTGCGCTGAGGTAACGTGGTGCTCTGGGTGCAGGAGGATGAGTAGCTTTGTCTTTGGAGGATGGATCTACGGGTCCCGTGGCATTCACGCCACACAGTGACTTCTGTGGGGCCTTTTTGGAGGGTAAGACTCATCATGCAACCCAAGAGTAGTTACAGGGAAAATCCCAGAGGTCACTTTGTGGGTTACCTTGGGTATTTGGGGTTGCTAGTGAAGAAAGTTTCAGATGCATTTGGAAGGTAAAAAAAAGATAACTTGGAGTGTTTCCTTGGAAGTGTTGAAGTCTCACTGGGGCAAGTGCATCAGTGTAGACTTTTATCTTTTATTATTAGATTTTAGAGGTAGCAGTGTTTGAGCTGGGGCCACTG